TTCAAGCAAAGACTAGAAGGGGGTGCACATACTTTTATCCATGCATGTGATCTATTATTAAACGTTACAGTATAAATGACTCTTTGAATGACATGATGAAGCTGATGAATGGCTCCGCTCTCCTCCTGTGCTAAACAGACACACACACAGATCCGCCACACTGGGCAGAGGAGAAGTTCAGGGATTAAAGGCCTTGAGCCATGGATGTAAAAGCCTCCTCCTCTCCAAGCGGTCCTCGCTGAATCAAAGACACATTTGATCGCTCCCACAAGCATCTCTAAGGCTGAATGCTGCCCGGGCCCCAGAAATTAAAGTGGCAGAGTCAGTGACTATAAAGTAGTGCAGAGTCCACGGACATGGCACACATCAAGCGAGCGCAGTGTTTTAACAAAGTCCCGCAGGGCCCGACTTCACACAACCAGTAAAAACCGTTTCCAGTCCTGCTGTATTTAGGGCTTATGGACAGCGGGTTTGGATTTATACGTCCCCTCTGTAAAGGGCCAGCCGTCAGTCAGACACGCTTCTGAAACATCTCTGTGCTGGACTACTTTCATAACAGCGATAAGACTGGATGAATTTTTGAGGCGCATCTCATCTTATCTCCAGGCACAGGATGTCCATCTCACACAGCCGAGTTTATGTACTATCTCATTCATGAAACACGAGCAGAGCGAATTTTTGTGTGAATCGTGTGTAAAGTGGTTCTGGCGTAAATTTTCGGATTCATTAAAATGTTCGTATTTTCCAAATGTTAGTTGGTACACAAGAAATCTAACGTTACACCTGCTCCCAGCCACGCGTACATAGTGAGTTTAACATCCGAACGTTTTGCTCATTAATAACCAAGGCTGCATTTTAATTCACCTTAATCGGGTACATATTTACACAGCATTTTGAAAAAATATTATACAGGTCCTTCTCAAAAAATTAGCATATTGTGATAAAGTTCATTATTTTCCATAATGTAATGATACAAATTAAACTTTCATATATTTTAGATTCATTGCACACCAACTGAAATATTTCAGGTCTTTTATTGTTTTAATACTGATGATTTTGGGATACAGCTCATGGAAACCCAAAATTCCTGTCTCAAAAAATTAGCATATCATGAAAAGGGGCTCTAAACGAGCTATTAACCTAATCATCTGAATCAACTAATTAACTCTAAACACATGCAAAAGATTCCTGAGGATTTTAAAAACTCCCAGCCTGTTTCATTACTCAAAACCGCAATCATGGGTAAGACTGCCGACCTGACTGCTGTCCAGAAGGCCATCATTGACACCCTCAAGCAAGAGGGTAAGACAGAAAGAAATTTCTGAACAAATAGGCTGTTCCCAGAGTGCTGTATCAAGGCACCTCAGTGGGAAGTGTGGGAAGGAAAAAGTGTGGCAAAAAACGCCTTTTCTTTAGGACCTGATACGCCACTATGTAGCCTACGCTTGAAAATAAAATGTGGTGTTTTGAATGAACTTCTGATAATAAAACTTCGATTTCTGCATCTGAGAAATTTTTCTTTTTCATTCACTTTTGAGAAGACATGTTGAAATCCTTCGTTTGGTGTCATAATATGATGCCCATAATAGTTGTCAGTCGGATTTAATGGGCGGGATTTATGGTAATTGAGAATGAGCGTGCACGCGCATCCCATTTACGACTGAGTGGAATTAATTAACACACACACACATTTCACTGTCCAGTGTTGCCAACTTAGTGCCTTTGTCGCTATTTTTAGCGACTTTTCAGACCCCTTTAGCGACATTTTTTCAAAAAAGCGACTAGCGACAATTTTAACGACTTTTTGGACAAACCTCAGTAACCTCCAAATGTTGCCAGTACTGTCCTGCGAGCGCGAGGTCGTCACTCTCTCTAGCTGCGTCTCCCCTGTTCAGTGAATGGCTGAGAGGAGCGCACGGCCGCTGACAGACGCGAATGAGCAGTGTTTTTCCATGGACTTATCACTATCTGCTTTTCTTTTGTTTTATATTTAAAGAATTTAGTTTGACCGTTTTCATTTTATTTCTTTTCTTGTGCTTATTACTTGTAACTCTCACTATCACAGAGCTTAGTTCATCCGGTTCCCTAACTCTCTCAATTCAGATAATGATCCACATAGGCCTATAAAAATGTAATCATTCACTATATTATAGCTACTCGTTCTATTGTCTGACAACAACAAAAAAGGAAATGAAAACAGCTTTATTTGACATTCGGCTATATTATATTAAATAGAATAATAGAGCATTAATTTAAAGAGAAAACGCACTAGGCTGACAGAACGCAAGTACGACGCGATGACGTCATCAATATGCTAATTGAGGTATGACGTCATCTAGCGACATTTAGCGACTTTTAGGGAAGGCCTTAGCTACTTTCCTTTGAAAATAGTTGGCAACACTGATCACGTCTGACGTTTATGAAGTATTTGTGAATCAGGAGATGAGTTTTCGGGAAGGTCTCTTTACGCGCAAATCACTCTCATATTTACTCGTATATTTACGAATATTTCATGAATGAGACCCAATATCCCCCATGGCCCAGTCCCACTCGCATTAGTTAGCAAACGAACCGTGCGTTTCTCAAATTAGCATCTACAGATTTCCGAATCAGAGTATCATTTAGCAGATCTCTGGATTGTGTGCCCTGGGGCACAGAGAAGTGAGTGTTCAGAATTACAATTTTGAAGTTTTTTCTTGTGATGATGCTGTCCTGGAAAGATGATAAATGGCTAAATCTGCAAAATGCATTAGATCTGTTCCAAAACCGAGTGTGCCTCCTACCTAGACAGCATCTTATTATTTGTCATAGGCAGTTCTTAGGCAGCACATCCATAGCCAATTCCAGAATGTATAAATTAAAAGAATTCAGTCTAAATAAAATGGGCTATTTTTGCCCGTGTGTGTGATTTATCTTAGCATCGAGTCTCTGTGGTTCATGTTTAGGGTGACCACCCGTCCCGCTTTGCATTGTACCGCATAGCATTTTCACCCCTTGTACCGCACGTCGCATATTGAGAAAATTTCCCGCATTTTCATCAGTCTATTGGTTTTTAATTATCATATTAAGAAAACGTGCATGCGTTCTTCTGCCTTTTTGTGAAAGCTTTTTACCTATTCTTTTGCAGCGTAGTTTTTCACCTATATTTCACAGCGCTTTGTCAGAAGTACAAATACAACTGCCGTTTTTAAAATCCTATCCAGTGGTTGAAAAGAAAGGATAAACACGGTCACTAGTAGGTTGACCAAAATGTGGACCGGTGTTTCGTTCCATGTCAGTCAACAAATGGATAATTCGGTCAATTAAGATTTTAATTTAACACAATTTATCAACTTGTTGCTTGCTGTGGTTGCTTTAATTCACATCCTTTCTAAAAAAAAATATGAAAGTGTTTGGTTTTCTTAATATACAAGACTGTCAATTAATTTAGGGATGCACGATGATATCGGGACAACATCGGTATCGGCCGATAAAAGCTTAAAATGACCATCATCGCATCGGCCGATATGAATATTTCTGCCGATGAGTCTTGCCGATAGGGTGGCGTGTTTCCTATGCGCACGTGACGACCGTGAACGAAGCATGAGCGCCAGCAACAACTTCCAACTAGGGGTGTGCTGTGGGTCTCACGGTTTTTGATCGTGGACGATTAAAATGTCTCCACTATCTGCTTTTGAAGAAAAATCATAGTATCGTGCATTCTATCAGTTCAATTCTGGCGCCTTCATCTCAACATACTGTACAACGCGACGTACATTCACATCACATCACATCACATGTAAACGCAGAGGTAGAGTTACACTCACGGGACACCGCAATTCACAAAAGTTCATTGTTTGCATGTGCGTCAAAGTCTTGCTAGTTAAACATGTCACCGTGCTGATGCGCTGTTCTAACATGCGCTTTTCTGAGCGCGTTACACCCGACGCTCACAGGAACTAAAGCCGTCACAGCGCCTGCATACTGGACTAATCTTTCCAGTCTTATTGCGCTGATACTGTCAAATACACACAAGGTTTACATAAACAAAGTTGGTAATGTCTAAAGTGAAAGCAAACAGAGAAAATCTGCTTGTCAAATGCGTGTATATTAGACGCGTCGCGTCACTCGCGTGCAGTTCTTAAAGAGACAGTAATAATATTCTGCCGCTTGTCTTTAAAGAGATACTGCACCCAGAAATAAAAATTCTGTCTATCTAATGTTGTTTCAAACCTGGATTCATTTCTTTCTTGTGCTTAAATATAGGCTACTATGGAAGTCACTGGAGTACAGCAACTGTTTGGTTAGCCACATTCTTCCAAATAACTTTTATAATTTCAACAGAAGAAAGAAACTTGAGAGAGTAAATGATGACAATTTAAATTTTTGGGAGAATCATCCCGTTAATGTTAATAAAACAACAAAACACAGAGGAAATCACTCACTGCTCTTGACTGAGAACATTAATAGAAGCTTTAATAAGCTTTTTTTGCACTTAAAAAAAATACAAATATATCGGTATTGGTATCGGCATCGGGCAAAATTAGTTTGAAAATATCGGCATATCGAATATCGGCCAAAATCCTATATCGTGCATCCGTATCAATTATCTAATTTGATGTTGTTTTATATTTTATTTGTTCATTGTTTATTTTGTTGGATTTTAGTTGGACTTGGTCAGAACTGTTTCTAAAAAAATTCTCTGCATGATGGCGCTGCCTTTGGGCTCAGGGATGTTCAATTTAAATGACATAAAGACATAGGCCTATGTTGAGATGTAATGGTGTTTTCTGGAAGGGACTAAAGAACAAAGAATTTTTTTCAGCTGAAAGGCAGAATACAAATATTTGTATTAAGTTAGATAGACATTATATAACAGTTTCAGGTTATTTTTTAGTGTTGGTAACATGTCCCACACAAACTTATAATCATCCCACATTTGATTTGTTTGATGGTGGTCACCCTATTCATGTTGGCAGTAAATACCGACTCTCTCTTTCTTTATATTGTTTTTCTTGCAGATCATAACCATGAGAGATTACGTTCCAAAAATCATTGGCCAGGCAGCTTTCGATGAGTATATCGGACCGTACGAGGGTTATAACGACTCGGTGAATCCTTCGGTGTCAAACGTGTTCGCCACGGCTGCGTTCCGCTTCGGTCATGTGACCATCTCACCTGTGCTCACGAGACTCAACCGGAGCTTCCAGGAACACGAGCGCTTCCCTTCTCTGAGTCTTCACCAGACCTTCTTCAGCCCGTGGAGACTCGTACAACAAGGTTCCTGATCCGTTCATTCTCATCATCCTTTGATCATCACTGTGTAGTCTGATCCACTTTACACTTTATTCTGATCAAGAGCGTGTGTGTGTGTGTGTGTGTGTGTGTATGTGTGTGTGTGTGTGTGTGTGTGTGTGTGTGTGTGTGTGTGTGTGTGTGTGTGTGTGTGTGTGTGTGTGTGTGTGTGTGTGTGTCAGGGGCGCTGGAAGATGTTTTAGGTTGGGGGTGCTGGGTTATTTATTTGAGAAACAATATCAACTCTATAAAACTCGTCAAAACTCCACAAATCAAAACAAGCACGTATCAGTGATAACACTCATTTAAACAGCACACACATTATACAGTGTAATGTGTTACACACACCCAAGGCCGTAACCAGGGTTTGAAAATTAGTGAGGTCCGGGGTGAGGTCTAAAGAATTGAGCTATAATAATGGTTAGGCCATTGGACCCACATTTCCCCATGGACATTAAGCTGCGACCCCCTTTTTTTTAAACCCCCCCTCGGTATTTTTTTTGGGGGGGAAATAAACCATTAAATGGCACTTTCTGGAGAGTTTTGTGCAAAGAAATATAGAAAAAAAAGTAGATCTAGCAAGTCTTATATTTCTGTAATTCACACAGATCAAACACAAATATGCTAATTGAATAGATTGCTAGTTGAGAAACACTGCTTTAATTAATGTTTTTATGATGACTTTGTGAAAGGTTAACTAAACAGCATGAGCCGTCTTCCAGCTGGCCAGTAAGTTATTTGGCAAATTTCACTCTGTATCATACAGATCTGTGTTATGCTATTGTTTTTGATAGTGTTATACATTTCTTACAGATAATCACGATGATCATTGCGTTTGTCTTACTGAATGTGGTAGCTTTATGCAATTACAGTTTAAGCTTTTTTTTATTAAAGCCGACAGTAAAATGTTGCCAGATTTTGCTACGAAAAACAAAACAAAATAATAATAATACTCCGAAATAAGTTCAAAGCTTGTGTTTTGGAAATAAGATGAATATATCACTAACATGCAACTTTCCATTTTAATAACTTCCTAAAGTGTCACATTAAATCAGAAAAAACAGGTCCAGTAGACTACTGTTGCCTTTGGCTTGCTCATTTGGGGATATTCAAATTAAATGATCCATCATACCACTGATCAGCTCTACCAAACTTTGATGTCTTTTTCCAGTAGTAAACAACCACTGTTAAGTTGTTTTGATTGATACTGTGAAGCAGCTTTAATACAATCTGTATTGTGAAAAGCGCTATATAAATATATTTGACTTGACTTGACTTGACTACTGCCACCTTTCCATTAGTGGATCTGGCAACACGGGATCTGGCACCCGCGCCCTCACTCACAGCTCTCAAGCCCCGTTCACTGCGCCAGCTTCTCGCAGCAACATGAATTGCAAACACTCATATGAGGTGGTTTAAACGGCTAATTAATCATTCAGAGAGCTTGACCTTTTTTTTTTTCGAATGTAAAAAAATGACAGAGGTCCGGACCCCGGTGACCTCATTGCTGCGGCCATGCACACACCCGAACTTGACTGCACATGACATTTTTGCCGTTATTGATACTGCTTTCAATCGTAATGCAACGGTCACCGGTCTACGGGACATAAATTAAGCCTTTAAATAAAAGGGTCATTGGGCCGTTAACACTGTCAAATACCATAAAAGACCACAGCGACAGGAAATAGAAATTAACTAAAAAAACCTGCCTAGTGTCTAACAAACACAACACTGTAGAGCGGCTGCGGACGAATTATTATTATTATTTATTTTATTTATTTTTTGAGCGGCTGCTGACGAATTCTTTCTACACGAACACACAATATAACGTCACACTCTTTGCGTATGTTTTACAAAACATAATTTAACATAAATAGTCCTAACACTTTTTAAATAACCCACTTAAAGTGTTTATTAGAAATAAATTACTAAATGCTTAGAATTAATAAATGTGAATGAACAAAAATTTGCGTTACATTTACAGTTCCGTGAAAACGGGGTGCTGCAGTGTGTGTGTGAGAGTGTGTGTGTGAGAGAGAGAGAGAGAGTGTGTGTGTGTGTGTGTCAGAGTGTGTATGTGTGTGTCAGTGTGTGTGTGTGTGTGTGTGAGAGCTTGTGTTTGTGAGAGAGAGAGAGTGTGTGTGTGTGTGTGTGTGTGTGTGAGAGAGACTGAGAGAGTGTGTGTGTGTGTGTGTGAGAGAGAGAGTGTGTGTGTGTGTGTGAGAGAGACTGAGAGTGTGTGTGTGTGTGTGTGTGAGCGTGTGTGTATGTGTGTGTGTGTGTGAGAGCTTGTGTTTGTGAGAGAGACTGAGAGAGTGTGTGTGTGTGTGTGAGAGAGAGAGAGTGTGTGTGTGTGTGTGTGTGTGTGTGTGTGTGTGAGAGACTGAGAGTGTGTGTGTGAGCGTGTGTGTATGTATCTGTGTGTGTGTGCTGATAGAGACTGCTGGAGACTTTTTTTTACTCATGCAAAATATTGAAACGCATCCCAAGTTGATAAGAAGGTAAAAGAGTTTCAGGGAAGGCCGACTTCAATATAGAGTTGATTCATGCGAACATGTCCAGGCAAGGGACAGAAATATTGAATATGTCAATATTAAATGATGACTGCTGCAACTGGCAGACTCATTAATGAAGCACTGAATAATTTCTCTCATTCAGTTTCTAACTGAATGATTTATAGTTTTAAGTTCAACTCAGTTGCACATCAAGAGGACATTTTACATACATTCTGATTTATAGAAAACAACTTGACAACAGCAAAAGTCAATCCAAACACGGGGAGAAAACATTACCAAAAGCGGGAATAAAAAATACATTTCAACATAAGAGCCATTAAACACAAAACAGAACAGAAACGCTCCCAATTTGAACACCAAATATAATTGGTGTAAAATGTAGCGGATTGATTGATATCTTTATTTTGAACATGTAAATACAATTAAAAAAGAAATCAGAGAAAGAAAAAAAATGGTAAAAAAAACAGATGAACAACAAAATAAAAATCAATACTTTCCAGTACTTAAAAAAAACCTCTATTTACATGTACAAAAAGGAGTAGGAAGAAGTAAAACGTATGTACTCATACCCTTACTACTATATTTAAGGAAATGGCTACAAAATAATAAATCTACAGAAATCTATAATCAATGAAAATATATATTCAAAAGTTATTTTCACATACATATATTACACATACACAACAATATTTATACTCATACTACAAGCTCAGGTTATTATTAGCACTGTTTCTTTGTACCTCTGGAATATAATTTCTTTGCACATCTTTTTAAAATGGAATATGTTTGGACTTTGCTTTAACTCATTATTTAAGTTATTCCACAGTTTAACACCACTGACAGATAAACAGAAACTTTTCCTAGTAGTTGTGTGTTTCTGATTCTTATTAAGGGAGATGAAGTTAGCAGCTGCCCAGCACTGTGATCCACACTTGTGCATATCTGTGTGTGTGTGTGTGTGTGTGACGGTCAGTGTTTGATGGCATGTGTTGTTCTCTGAAGGTGGACTGGATCCGGTTCTGCGAGGTCTTCTGGGACGTCCAGCTGTCCTGCAGAACCAGGAGCATCTCATGACCGAAGAACTGACGGAGAGACTCGTGGTCCTCAACATCCCGGAGTCTGTGGATCTGGCGGCTCTGAACCTGCAGCGAGGACGAGATCACGGCTTACCAGGTGACTACATCAGAACACTTATTATTACTGGTGCTCTAACCCAGTGGTTCCCAAACCTGTCCTGGCGCCCCACCAACACTGCACGTCTCCCTAATCAAACACACCTGATTTTAGTGATGTATGTCTCGAGACCACTTTTACGTGGTCTCGGCCTTGACGGTCTTTGGTCTTGGTCTTGTGTTGGTCTCGGACCTCTCGGTCTTGTCTAGGTCTCGTTGTCTCAGACCGACATAGTGGTCGGAGGATATCAATATCCACGACGATATCCGCAACGGATTGATGCGCGCGTCCGAGTGAAGACAGTGCGGTGCGCGAGCCGTATCCGCGCTACTGATCACAGCGGCAACGAGCACTTTGATCACTTGATTCAAAAAACACATATCATGTACAGTTTTTGATGTATTAATATTTAGTAAAACACATATCAGTGACATGATGGGTTTTAACTTCATTCAGGAGATTTTGGGTAACTGCACAACTGATAGATGACTTTGAGCGCACCGCCAACGGTGTGTGTGTGTGTGTTTGTGTGTGTGTGTGTGTGTGTGTGTGTGTAACCATAGCGACAAAACAACCAACTTTCGGATCCTGGACTTTAGCTTATAATTACGTTTTTAAAAATATAATTATGTATTTAAAAGTTGCAGAATGGATTCATTTGGAGACTTCGAAATCGGCAGAGATAGGCAGGCAATGCAAAACAAAATCTTACAAGTTATTGCTTAGCTTCAACAACACTAGTCTGTTTTTTCCCCCTCCGGTCTCGGTCTTGGTCTGTCTTGGTCTTGGTCTTGTCTTGGTCTCGATACCCTCTGGTCTTGGTAGTGTCTTGGTCTCGGTTTAGGCGGTCTTGACTACAAGTCTACCTGATTCAACTCATCAGCTCATTAACCCATATGATAATGAGCTAATGAGTTGAATCAGGTGTGTTTGCATTATTGATTTATTATATTCCTGTTATCACTGTAAAGCTGCTTTGAAACAATCTTTATTGTATAAAGCGCTATATAAATAAAGCTGACTTATAGTTAACAAATTAAAACCATAAAAACACTTTCAATACTTTTCAAACTTTAACTGTGCCACAAGATGAGGATGAAGGACTGAAGACAGGATCAAATTATCAACATAATTAAATAAAACAAAAGGGTAAACATGCGTAACAGTATGTAGGAAAACACACGCATACACAAACAACACTGAAGACTGAAAACAGAGGAAGTAAATACACAGAGATAATCGACTAAATGAGGAGCAGTTGTGCTGGAGGATTAGTTTCCATGGTGACTAACGAGTGGCGGGAAAATAGAACAAAGGAAACATGTGACTGAAGACAAACAAACTAAAAGTCTGTGAAGGTGACACTAATCGAACATAAACGTGACAAACTGACATCAAATAAAATATGAAAAAATCCTATTTCACCTAAATGCCCAGGCAAAATTTCTCATTTTCATTTAGTTTAAAGGAGCTGTATGTAAGAAATGTATTTAAATTAATCATAAAATGGCTCTGATGTGTCTCCAGACATTAAGAAATCATGTTCATTTCAAATACTTATATCACTGACAACAGTAGTACGGCCACGATATTGTCATTTAAAAAGTGAAGTTGCAGCCCTCAACTGATGTTGATGTTGTCATCTTGTGTTTTGGCCTGAAGCCCCACCCTCCACCTATCTACCAATCACGAAGTCAGTAGTGTTTCGGCATCCGGGTTGCCAGCTCTGCTCTAGTTGAAAGCTCCTTGTAGCAGCCTACGTTCCTGCTGGATCCTGCAGCCTATCTGGCAACCTCGAGTCAGGGGGGAGGGGGAGGGGATGCACCGCTCTACAGTCATTTGAAAGTGATTGCAGTACCAGTTTTGGCCACAATCTTACATACAGCTCCTTTAACTTGATGTACTAAAATAATGTAGTAAAACCAAAATGAACATTTATAAAAATGATATAAACACTAATTACTAAAACTTTGAAAAAATACAGAAACTGATTTAAAATATTAATAAACACCACAACAGTATCTGCTTATTTAGCTTATCAGTATCTGTTTATTAATATTCTAAAACTCTTGAGTTTGAGAAAAAACATGTCTTAAGTATAATTACACTTTACAATAACGTTCCATTTGTTAACATGAACTAACACTAAAATACTTCTAAAGCATTTATTAATCTTAGTTCATGTTAATGTCAACATTTACTAGTACATTATGAAAATCAAAAGTTGTTAATATTATTTAATGCACATGCGCTAACATGAACTAAAAATGAACAGTTGCATTTTTTTTTATTAATTATCATTTACAAAGATGAATAAATACTTTTATAACCTTTACCAAGTTTCGTTAGCCTGGGAAAACCCAGACAACTTCCGGCAAATTTAGATTTGATCTGAAAGTTAGTCTGGCAAAGAGCTCATTCAAGCCCATTTCCAATCCGCCGAAATCGAGGCACCAATCAGAAGCGTTGGGGCGGGCTTTACACGATGACGACAGCGCTGGGATTTTGAAGCAGATTTTGTAGCCTACATTACAAAGATGGATGCCGCCGTCGAACATCACTCGTTCCAATCAGCTATCGCGTCTGTTTTAAGCCATTTGAACGTTTCCTTTTAGTTAAAAACCGAGCAAAGAACAACACTCGGAGATGTTTCTCCGCCGCTCTGCATACGTCATCTCCTTCATCGCTCTGATTGGGTTTAGGCAGAGACTATTTATATAGAGACATGCCACTTCATCAATCCTTAATACAACTATATAGGGAAAACCCGTAACGCCAAAGATGGCGGTTGTATGCACATGTCCCGGCCCTCCCGTTGGAAAGCCAATCGTCTGCTTTTAACAGTCAAGCCGGGAAACATTTAAGCCTATCGTCTGGTTCCACTGACGCATGCGCACAGTTGAGGTTTGCGACAGCGCAAAATACGTTACTGTTTGAAAAGGCGGCAGATTTGATATGCAGTGTATGTGTGAGTTGTGTAATATCAGACATCAGAAGTCTCCCGCAGATTGATAGCGGGTCCCTGATGCCCGCAAATTAGTTCAAATCTCCCGGTATCTAGAGCGAGCGAGCAAGAGCGCGCACATACTGTGCTTCAAACTGTGTAGCGCGCGCACGACCGAGGGAGAGAACCCTTGCGCATGCGCAGTAAAAGTATAACCTGTGGGGAAAAGGCCTTTTAAACCTTATTTTGGGGCAAAGTCAGCAAACTTTTTCAGCAATTTTGATCATAATTTACTGCTGTTTCTATACATGCAGTTTTTATGTCCCGGTGACCAGTGAAACTGCAGTTCTGACTCGCTGCCCATTCATTTAGATAGGAGCCTGGTCTTGTTAGTCCGAAATAGCTGCCCGGAGGCGTTGCCAAGATGGCGGCCGAGTGGCATGACTTGCCTAAAAGGACTTGGGTTTAGGTCTATCCGCGACGTCCGTTGGTGACGCCCCTCTGGAAATGACGCTTTGCCAGACCATAACTCAGTTACAACTGAGAATGGTCTGGTTTTAACCAGGCTAAAGTTTTGTACCATTCCAATGAAGTAAAAAAAAAAATAATCGGTCAAGATTTACCGAAGAGAGAAAGAAGGTATTAATATACTAGTCTACTGATACTCTGATGAGAGTTAGCTGACATGTAGTTGTATAGTTGTGTAATACACGAGTGATCTGTAAAAGTCTTTCTCCTGCAGGTTACAATGAATGGAGGGTTTTCTGTGGCTTAGACAGAGTTGAAAGCCGATCAGATCTCGCAGAGGTGGTCGGAAGTGATGTTTTGGCAGAGAGAGTAATGGATGTGTATGGACATCCGGACAGCATGGACGTGTGGCTGGGAGGAGTTCTGGAACGACCGGTGTCTGGAGCCCGGACTGGAGAACTCTTCACATGCTTGATCGGGAAACAGATGAAGACGCTGAGGGAAGGAGACCGGTGAGATCTGAGTGTGCAGAGACACTGCTCAACCACTGTTAACCTGCAACCTAGGGCTGCACGATTTGGGGAACACGTCATATTGCGATTATTGAGGTCAATATTGCGATTGGGATATAATAAACAAATGGTTTCATGAGTCAACTTGCTTGGTTCTAAAGCAAAATGCACACACAGATTAGTGATAATTCTGAAATGTGTATTTCTCAACTCAAACTAGCAACAACTAAATGATTAATTAATTAATTAATCAAAAATGACCCGAAGCGTTTAAATAAAAAAATGTTAAAAATCGTAGCTTCATCGGAATGGTCCAAAACTTGGTGACTTTTTTGGTACTTGGTATATGAACACCCAAAAAAATTGGGGACAGGATTTGAAAAGTCTAAGTGGTCGTAAAAAAAATAGTCACACTCAGGACCTTCGGGTCAAAAATGACCCCCATAGGAAATGAATGGGGAATTGGCAAAAATATGAAAATACAGAGTTTTTTTGTGCATACAATCTACAAAACAGACAGGATGCAGAAAAAAAGCACACAACAGTGAAGGGGTGAATCTCTTAAAACAATTGGTGACAAAATGCTTTCCATGTGTTCTCTTTATAATGCAATGTTCAGGTTTGAATGTATTATAAAGTAAAACTGCCACTTCAAATTACCATTTAAACCAACCAAAAAAATCTTCTTTTTTTTTTAAATTTTAAAAAATGACAAAAATAGTCTTTGAGAATCTGTTATTATATATTCAAATCAACAACCTGGAAAAAATTAAACAATATGTGAAAAAAATCACTAGAGTGTTTCTACCATAGGTTTCTACAGAGAGCTGTAAATCCACTAGTGGTAAAAAAGTGCTATTGCGTGATAAAAATGCTCAGTGTGTCCACCAGATGGCTCCGATCTCATTTCAAAAATTGCTTTCATGAGGCCTAGACTTGACTCTAAAATGAAATACAGCTTTAATAAAAATTTTTTTTATTATTATATATATATATATAAATTTTCTATTATATTCAATGGGAAAAAATGGGTCTTAATTATTGCAAAAATATTAATTATAAATCATAAAATTATCTCAAAACACCAAAAAAGAAAAGAAAAAATATTATTGAACAAAAATATATTTCATTGATTTTACTCAAATAAATAAATCTTAATGCCGCCCTCCGGGTCATTTTTGACCCGAAGGTCCTGAGTGTGAGTCTAAAATGAAGAACCCCAGAGGGTTAATAACACCTATAATGATCAATAAGCCATTGATGTCTGGATAAAAAAAAAAAAATATATATATATATTTTAAACATTTATTAGGCTTTAAAAAATATAACCGCTTTTAATTTAAGTGAACTTCAAACAATCCTCACATAAACCCATAATAAATGTCAGATTTACCTGCGCCCTTCCTGTCTAAAAGGTATATACAGAAATTGAATAAAGTTGTCAAACAGCTGCATAAGTTATAAATTATATATAGACTAATCCTTATTAAAGCTGCAAAAGTTCTTTAGTCAAGTAATTTTAGTCTGAGTCATTTTCTCTGTTCCCTCTGTTCTTTGATTAACGTTACTGACAGAAAGCTTTATTGGCTGCTGGCCCTTTAAGAGCAGCCGCTGTTGACAGAACTCTTTACGTCCATTACAAGACTGCTCTTATGTTATGAAGATACTCGACAAAACGACACTTTGGCATAATTGTGTGTGTTATTGTTCGTTCAAGCGCGAAAGAGAGCTGTATTCTGGCGCGCGGTCTGTGCATGCGCATGATACTGGCGTTTGTGTGAGTCACAGTCAGGACATTCACAGGCGCTCTCTTTTGACTTGTCACGTATGAATTGTTTAAAAGCATTCGCACGAATAAGAGCGGGATCATAACACTAGCCAAAGGATGACAAAAAATAAGAGATGCTGCGTTAATTGCAGCCCTAATTTGTTTATTTCATATAAAATCGCAGCATTTTGCATCATATAATTGCATAGGCTTGACATCACGATTGCAATATGATTAATCGTGCAGCACTACTGCAACCAACACAATACAAGCTATGTTTCCATCCACACGTTTTTATCCGCATTAAGCGATATCGAATGAAAAATGCCTTATGGAAACAGTAAAATTCGATTGAATTTCATGAATATCGACTCAAATGAAATACGATCGGTCTCATCGGATTTTATCTTGATCGATATACGGCTTACACTGTGTCCTAACTACACGCGACGCGACGCCGCGACACGCGATAAAAGGTATCTTTTCCATGTTAATCAGAGTTTTTGTCCTAACCAGACGCGACCATAGACAGTATAAGAAGTGGACAGAGCCATCTCATTGGAACTCAGTTGAGACAGTTGAAGCCCATTTTTAGCGATTTTTGAGCACTTCCGTTCCTGACGCGCAGACTCAAACCGACTCAAACTAAGCTTGATGACGTGAGCAACCTGTCTGACAGACGTGAATCTTCTAGTAGCTGTGCGTGAAAAGAGACGGGGAACTTGAGCAAAGAGTTCTTTGGCGTGAGTGAGCAGGAGTAAGTATTCCGTTGCTTTTATGGACTCATTATCTATGGGCTTCTCCCTTGACGGGACGTCCCCCCGATCGCCTGCGAGCTTCTCCTCCTGTCTGTACGGTCATTTCTGTACAGCGCGACAGAGAGTCGAGTGGTTATGACGCAATCGTTAGCCTATTTTTACTAAAACTGTTTCTACGGGGCCATAATGTAACATAGAAGGTAATGGAGCCCTTTATACATTGTCGTGTTTCTTTAGAATTAAATAATGGACAAATGGAGTCTTTAAACGCCTCAGACGTAAAGTTATTCGCTGTCAAAGTGACGCCAAAATGAATGGGAGTCAATGGAAATGCTAACGCAAGTGAAGTTCTGCTACAACATGGCGGCACCCGGCCGGCTTCAACTTCCGGTCGATGGATTACCCCCTTGGACGCGACAGCGGCACGCGAAGTTTCTAATTTAGAAACGGTTCCTATTTCTGCGACGTCGCGGCTGACAGATCCGCCCACACAGAGAACAAGATCGAATAAACTGATTGTCATATGAAGAAATTACACTGGTTATTATGAGTACACATTATTTATTTTTAGTTAAAAATAGGTCACACAGATTTTGAAAGCATAAAATACAGCGTTCAAACTGAATTCTATGCAAACAACTGTACTTCATAACAAAATTAGTCAATGAGTATATTTTGTTAATGTTTTGATTTTTAATAATGTTATTTCTTGATTTGATTATGTCCTTACTCATTTCCAATGCGAGTGCGGGCCAGCAGTGCACTTTCACAGAGAGACTCCGCCCACACGCTGTTCTGAATGGCTGTGATTTTTGATTGACGTGTGGCGTCTCACAGTCGCGTCGCGTCTAGTGTGGACAGACACACTTGCTGTCGCTGGAATTTTATCGCGTCGCGTGTAGCTAGGACACGGTGTGATACATGTCAGCAGCGGCACTGAACGCGGATCCACAACAGAACCGGAACACAATACAATGCTGAATAAAGGCCTAGTTTTTGTTATTTTTGGAGCAAAATGTATTTTCGATGCTTCAAAACATTCTAACTAACCCACTGATGTCACATGGACTACTTTGATGATGTCTTTATTTCCTTTCTGGACAAGGACAGTATACCGTACACACATTTACAATGGAGGGACAGAAAGCTCTCGGACTAAATCTAAAATATCTTAAACTGTGTTCCGAAGATGAACGGAGGTCTTACGGGCTTGGAGCGACATGATCATTAATGACATCATTTTCATTTTCGGGTGAACTAACCCTTTAACATTCGCATAACCATAAAACGTTTTTAAAAGTTTAAAAAAATTAACAACAAAGAAATAACGTTTTCAAAACTTAATAAGAACGTAAACGAAACTATGTTCTTAGAACATAATTTGGTTAGTTTTGATTAAATGGAATGTGGGAAATGGAATTTTGATAAAATGGAATATATCCTTAACTGGACGTTTTTAATGTTCAGGGTGCAACAATGTTTTCAAAACTTAATGAGAACATTAGCGAAATATTCTTAGAACATATTTTTGTTAGCGGGGATGCAGCTTTAAAAAAGACAGTTCAACAGTGCCCGTCCACGTCTTCAGCACTGTTCGTTCCGGAAGTGTTTTTTCCGGGGGGTTTTTCCCATGGGGATTTCAAAAAAATTCTGCGTTATAAGCCATGAACCAAACCAACCAGCTATGAGGAGAATCACAACACTACAAACTTTAATTTAAAGCAAAAAAAGTAATTGAAAATCAGACAAAAGTACAAGACTGTGTTTAGTGAGGGAAAGGACGATCCCATGAAGCAAATTAAAAACGATGTAGAAATATAAAACTACTCATTTAAAAATGTTATAAAAACAATATATTTTAAGATTGTTGAAAAATATGCATATATATTGAAATTAGGGCTGTCAGTTAAACACGTTATTAACGGCGTTAACGCAAACCCATTTTGACGCGATTAATTTTTTTATCGCGAGATTAACGGTCTTTTTGGCCTAGCAAACTGTTGTTTTTTTCACTGCGCTATGAAACCCACTCATTTCAATGGCTTGTGCCGCGCGAGGACGTTATGTTGCTTCGTCGGCCATCAAGTGGTGTTTCAGACTGGACTTGCTGCGATGATGATAGCTCAGTTCACAACGACAAAACACACAGATCACTTTGGTCTCGTCAATGGAACCATTTGGCAACTTTTTAAAAGTAAACTTTCCATTCAGAATCTTATTGGCATCCATTTCAGCGTCTCGCGCTCGTCATCCACTCAAAACGTAACGTTAACCTACTATTTGGCCGGCTCGCAACAAGTGTGTTTACGGTCTAGCTAGATCCGGTGCTTTGACCGGTCAAAATTCAAATTAGTTCAACTTTTGCCGCTGTGGCGATTACCAGCGCGGCCAATAGAAACGTTTTGGCATCCAAAAAGTTTTGAAAATTGGCGTAGCGCCGCACATTCCCCGTCCTGTCTGAAAGCACTATCATCACAGCACATCCAATCTGAAACACCACTTGATGGCCAAGCACACACACACACACACACACAGCTGATGTGAATTCTCCGCCCCCTCGTCAATATCAGGACCTCGTCAGTATTTCTTTCACCCTTTTATTGATGGACAGTGTTACATTGTGTGAGAGATTATTTGCTCCAAGTGAAAATGTTTTAGTGTGAAATTGAACACAAATATTTCAATTCGTTTTTTATTGAAAACAACATATACTAAGTATTTTGAGATCGACTTGATTACATTCACAGTGCTTCATGGGAGTGGGCGGAGCTAAAGAGATCTTTTGGCACTTTTTGGTTAATTGGTTGTTGCGTTAAATCTTACCCAGATACAATAGTGCTATTTTCTGATTGGCTAATTGTGTAGCCCTTTCCTTTTTTTGATTGGCCGATAAGTGGCAGGCTCGATTAAGGGGAGACACGCTTGATTCCTGCCGGTTCCACAGTGAAAGCGGCGTGGCCAGAGACAATTTGGGCGCTGCGGCATATTAAATATATTATAAATAGTTTTTCTGCGTGAGAAATACAATGTGTGGTGGCGGGAGAGCGTGACAAAAGACCGAAATGACTGTCACGCTCAATGCTTGACACTTGAGAGCCCTGGTTCTGTTCAATAACTGTGTTAAAGTTGATCAATTCTGAAATGAGTTCAGTACGGCTATAAGCAGCTGAAGACAATAGTGGTTAGAGGTTTAAAACAAGTTTTGCTTTTCTCGATGTCATTCCAAACCCTTATTTAACTTGGGAGAAGCACAAGAGATGTTATTTGTCAAATGATTCCTTTAACTTGTCATGTCAAAATGCTAAGAATAACACATTGATATTGATATTTTTGGTGTGATTCAGATTCTGGTGGGAACATCCCGGTGTGTTTTCCCCAAAACAAAGACAGGAACTCCAAAGGCACTCTCTGTCTCGTGTCATCTGTGACAACAGTGGCGTGACGGAGGTTCCTCCTGATCCGTTCAGAGTCGAAACTTACCCCGAGGACTTTCTCTCCTGCGGGAACATCCCGTCATTGGATCTGGAGGAATGGAAAGAACAGCCGGATGACGGTTCGTATGGGACGGTTTTTAATTTACGGACACAAATCCTGCTTTTCCAGCTTTCTTTAGATTGAGATACTAGGTTAAAATGTACATATACACTACTGTTTATTTGAAATTTTATTATATAACTGTAATATATATTATATGAAATTCATATTATATTTTATGTTTTATAATTCTATATTTTTATTCCTGTGATCAGAGCTGATTACTCCAGTCTTCAGTGTCACATGATCCTTCAGAAATCACTCTAATATGAGGATCTGATGCTCAAGAAACATTTATGATTATTATCAATGAAAACAGCTTCTTCATATTTTTGTGGAAACCATGATCAAATATTTTCAGGATTCTTTGATGAATAGAAAGAACAGCATTCATTAGAAATATAATCTTTTGTAACTTTATCAAATGTTTTGTCACTTTAGATCAATTTAATACATCCTTGTTAAAGTATTAATTTCTTAAATAAATATCTTACTGACCCGACTTTTGAATGGTAGTGTATTTGCAAAGAAAAAATGATATTTTATGTCATGTAACTGGCAGTTTTTCACCATCTTTTCCTTCACTACTAGTTCATTTGAAATAGTCCTGAGGTGCAACAAATTATTCCATGTGGCCTCTCAATTAACTGAACTCATAAACGCTGCATGCATAATAACCATATAATAATTAGAAATAGCATGTCACACCACAGGACACTGCTTGAATGCCTCCTGTATGTGTCCATGTGTTAACTTTCCAAACGCAGCTAAATATTGCTGTGGAACTTCATGAATAGTAAAGAGGCTTTGAGGAATTACACAGTCTCTGTGAGGAATAAAAGACGTGCAGATTCTCTTGTGTTTAAACTCAAACTCATTCAGTCCCAGGAGACGCTGAGCTGGTTTTATCCCCAGTGTGGAAATCTGCTGGTGTAAAATATTCTAAGTGTGAACCCTTGGCAGGATTTGTCATGTTCTGACAATGGACCATTTTTCATTTGTACTTACAATACACTATAGTTCAAAAGTTTGGGGTCAGTGAGATGTTTTATTAAATAAATAAATACTTTTATTCAGCAAGGATGCATTAATCATAAGTGACGGTAAAGACATTTATAATGTTACAAAAGATTCTGTTTCAAATAAATGCTGTTCTTTAGAACTTTCTGTTCATCAAAGAATCATAAAAACAGAAGTATCGTGTCAAAATGTAACAGAATGAATCTGTTTTTTCAACATTGATAATAATCAGAAATGTTTCTCGAGCATCAAATCATCATATTAGAGTGATTTCTGAAGGATCATGTGACACTGAACACTGGAGTAATGATGCTGGAAATTCAGCTTAAGAATAAATATTCACATAGAAAACAGCTATTTTAAATGATAATAATATTTCACAATATTACAGTTTTTACTGTATTTTTGATTACCGTAAAACTTCAAATAGTAGCCCGGGCTTTTATTTTCCCAAATCGTCGAACTGCACCGGCTTGTATTCGAGACAGGCGTCTATATGAGACAGGCCTTTATAATTTAGTGTTGATATGTTGTTCATTGAGTGTATAGGCCTGTCTCTAATCTCTAAAAATCTCCAAATGCTCCACGTGAAACTGCGGTCTTCCGACCTTTTACTATCGCGTCAATTGATTTTGATTAATATGCGCGAGGGAGAGAGAGCAAGACAGCGCTCGTGTTTTTTGAAGACGTGGAGTGCGTGCGCGCGCGCAACCGGGGCGCTCTCTCTCTCGTAACGCGCCCTGTCAAGCGCAGCAGTCATTCTATTCTACATCACTCATCGATCAAAAAAGGCTTTGGAGGGACAAAAATTTAATTTGCCGGCCGCCAAAAAGCGGACAATCTGACGGTTTTAGAGGATTGAATACAACCCGAAACTAAAAAACAGACCCGGCCTCTATTTGAGACTGACCTTTATTTACCCAAACCTGCAGCCACACCAGGCGTGTAAAAGAGACAGGCGTCTATTTGGGACTCGGCTATTATTTGAAGTTTTACGGTAAATAAATGCAGCCTCAGTGAGCAGAAGAGACGGCTTTCAAAAACATTAAATAATCTTACTGACCCTAAACTTTTGAAAGGTTGTGTAGATCTACTAATAATGTTTTCAGCGCGACTGATACGGGTTTTTCAGCGACTAAAGGCCCTTTCACACCGGACGCGTAACGGAAAAGCGAATAGTTCGCGTGTGAATAGTTCGCGTCAAAACCATTCACATCAGCCGCGACGCGAAATTGCGACGTTCAGAGATTCAACATTCCAAAACTTTCGCGCCGACAGCTGAGAAAACACGGACACTTCATCATCATCATCATCATCATCATCATCATCATCCAGTGAAGACGAGCTTTTCGTTTTCTTTAAAAGACAGAAAATAATGTTTTGTGGGTGCACCCAATCTTAAAGAACAGAGGAGTCTGAAGGGGAGTATGCTAATCTTGTAAAGTAGCTAAAACTTTGCCACAAAGAATCGGCCAAAGTAAGGATTATGCATTAAACATTTGAATTGTTTATTAATAAACTAATGTGTTCTATCAATTTTCGGTATGAGTTCACAGTTCACCCGCCAGTTCACGCGCCGGCGCCTCCGTGTCCTAATTATATTGTCTACTATATTTGCTTCTTATTCCTATAAATCCAGGCAATTTGTTGATGAAACATTGATTAAAATTAAGATACAATTTAGACAAAACGAAATTCACTTTAAAGAAAGGCTTTCTACAAAACAAAACTTAATAAGTGGCCAAAATTATGTCTGACCCATTCCAAATGTTTTCGCTATATTGGGCATCTTATGATCCTTATACTCATCTCATGCGGTTCCCATATAGCTAATCAACATAGATGAAATAAAAAAAAATAGCATTATATTATTTAAACGTATATATGAAACATATGTTTGAGTTTTTTAACTTATAGGCCTGCTTTACTCACATGCTCTGGTGTGTGGCCTATACATGAATGCAAAAATAATATGAAACACACAACCATGAATGTTGAAAATATTGCTTGTTTTTAGTTTACTTCATGTTGTGACACTTCTCTTCTCTCGCACATAATGCTGCTACGTCAGAGCGGCCAAAGCGTCAACAAGCTTCGCCTTTGTTTCCATGTATGTGATTGGCTGAAGCCTTTTCTGTCGCTGCAAAAGTTTAAAAAAAAATCGGCATCGAAGCGAAAAAAATAAAAGTCGTTTTTTCGCCGCAGCACATTCGCGTTCAGTGTGGAAGCACTCATTACACAAACAGCTGATCAAAAAATAAAACTATCGCGCGAATTATTCGTGTCAAAATCGCGTCCAGTGTGAAAGGACCTTTACACTGCAAAAAAAATAATAAAAAGTTGTTCTTCCTCTGTATTTCTGTCTTGTTTTCCAGTACAAATATCTAAACGTTCTTAAATCAAGGTACATTTACTGGAGAAGCAAAATGACTGTAGATATTACATTTCTGAATAATGCATGAAAATGTAAGTTTATGCTTAAAACAAACACAAATATCTGTCAATGGGGTCAGAAAAATAATCTTGTTCCCCGTTTGAATTACGTTTATTTTTCTGAGCCCATTGACAGATATTTGTTCTTGTTTTATGCTTAAACTCACTTAATATTGATCACTATTTTCAGAAAACAAGACATAATATATTAAGTCATTTTGCTTCTCAAGTAAATGTATATTGATTAAATAAAAACAGAGGGAGAACAATATTTGCAGTGCATCTAGAGAGAATAAAATGCTGATATATATATATGTATAAAACAATGACTTGAGGGTACAGGACTCTTTTAACTTCAGAAACCGCTAATAAACCACCTGAACATCTCAGTCACTGCTCATTTCGGCTCTGGCAACCAGCAGCAATTTGCCGGATGTTTGTTCCAGTTCAGTAATTGTGGTTTGTTCACACAGACATCACTGGGCCACAGGTTGTTGGACTGCAGCCGCTCATGCATTGTATTAACAATCATTTTCAATGTGTTCGCCGCTCCTCAGAGTCCGTAATTCTCAACGCTGGAATCCGGCCCAATGACAAATATTGATCCATTATGAGCCTGCGACGCTGCCAAAACAATTAACGTTAGCAGTCGCACCTGTTACGTGCAATAGAAATGAATCTTTCTAATGAATACTAGGCAAATCCCACGGTAGAGAGCCAGATGTAGAGAGCCAGGCAGGTTTGCATTCGCTTGGCCTCCTGACATCACGGGTCCCGACCCGTTCTGAACACATCTACAGTGTTTATTCAGTCCCGAAGCTCAAGCTGCCTATCAAATAGACTGCTGTCGGCTCTGATAATGTCCTCTGGAGAAGATTGAGTGTGTGAATGGATGTCACAGCGACGTCTGGTCCTCAGGGCATCAATGGCACACGACGCCAACATTACAAAAACTGCTTTCAACAATAGGACCAAAAAGATTCGATACAAGGAGAAATGTCTGAAAAATTAAAACTCTGTCATTATTTACTCACCCTCATGTCGTTCCAAACCCGATAGACTTTCGTTCGTCTCCAGAACACTAATGAAGATCTTTTTGATGAAATCTGAGAGATTTCCATTGACAGCTACACAACTGACACTGTGACGCTTCAAAAAGTTCATAAAGAGATCATAAAACCAATCCACATGAATTGAGAGGTTTAGTCCAAATCTTCTGAAGACACACGATCGCTTTATATGATGAACAGATTGAATTTAGGCTTAAAAACATGCTTATTTTGATGTAAAAGAAGCTGAAATGCAGTGTCAGTTCAGAGCTGAAAGTAAAACTGGGGGCTGGATTAATGGTAAAGATGCAACATCAAAAAAATGATTTCATAAATATAACTGCCAGCTCTCTGAAGGACACAGATATGAGTTGAATGATGTCTTTGGATCTGCATTTAATCTTTAAACAATCTTGTATATACACATCAATCTATAAATTACAGGAACGTCTGTCTGTCTGTTAATCGAATATCTCTCGAACCGTTAGTCCGATGGATCTCAAACTTGACAGCTGTCTTGCTACGGGCACGAGTAAGTGCAGTGCCGAGTTTGAAATAGTTTGGATTAGAAATGCAAATGAT